TGTCAGTCTTACTGGCTCTGTTACCAGGTTCTGTTATTCTTCATTTAAAAAGGAGTCTTTTCCGTTTATCCCAAATGGTTAAATTCTGCCTCGGGATTTCAAGTGTTCTCCTAAAAATAAAAGGCCTTTCCCAGTGAGAGGCAACAGGCATTTATTTGAGATCAAGAATAGCTACTCAGGAAGCATCTTCAGGCGAAGCCCAAGCAATGTCCCAATCGGGAGACAGAGGCCCCGTACTTACGAGAAAGGGAAGGGGGACAGTCACAGCCATGGAAGGAAGGCGTCTATTGGTGCTGATAACAGAACATAGTGATGCCAACGCTAAACAGTTTACAATGCTCGGCCCCACAGTCCTCGTGGGTGGTCACAGTGTCTGCTTCCTTCTTATCCTTGCAGACAGTCTTGGGGCACAGCGTGGCGGGAGGCGCAGGGCAGAGGTTATTTCGCCCTGTTTTCACGTCCGAGCATCTGTGGCCCAGGACTGCCAGGCGGTGCCTCCTGGATGGCGGCTCTGCTCCATTTTAAAGTGGCTCCGCTGATGTTATGATTTTTTTACACAAGGTTTCAGTGTTTGTAGTCATCTGCTTTCTTTAGACACACATTATTTGCCACCATATGCGTGCATTCCTTTCGTAATATTCTAAAGGAAGTCTCTCCTACCCTCTGTGCCCTTTCCTGGCGCTGCCTGTCCTCAGCCTGCTCACTCTGATGCCCACTACACTCCCCACCTCTCCACTGACTCCAGGCCTCACCCATCTTTCCATTCGTAAGCACCCTCTCTCACATAGAATCTTCGCCCCTCAGTTGTGTGACTTAATAAAGGTAGCTTTCCTGCGTGTTGCCTTTGAACCTCAGAGCCTGCTTGCCCTCCAGAAGTGCCAGGGGACCGCACGAAAGTTAGCTGGGCCTTTAGTGACACTCTTGGGGCTCAGGGGGTCTCTGACTGAAGCGCGGCTCCAAGCCGCCTGGGTCCTGTCTGGCCTCGCTTTCTGGTCTCAGGCCTCCCAGCTCCCTGGGAGCTCGGCAGGCAGGTAGCAGTGGGACTTCCAAGCGCCTCCAGTTTCCCCAACTTAGATGGAAGGTCTGCCTGAGCCCGGCAGTGTCGGGAAAATGGTTATGATTCTGGAGAAGTATGCAGAGGAGAAAACCGAAACAGCCAGCCAGATTTCCGTCGGTATTGTTAGGTGTGGTGGGGAAAGTGGCCATTTACATTATTGAAAGATCAGTCGGAGGCCGAAAACGAGGTGACACAGGCTTTATTAGAGGAAAGACCTGCCGGGCTGTCTCACAAGGGAGAGCAGCAGCCCGTGCAGCGGTTACAACTCTTTTAAGGAGAATGAGGAAGGCACGAGGGCTTGGGGTACTTGGCGAGAGCTGGTTGGTTAGTCCATGTGTATGTCCACACAGGGTGTTCCTTCTGGGCTGGGCCACATCACATTTAGTCAGTCATCGCCATTCCAGGGACGGGTGGGTTTAGCAATCACATTCCAGGGAAAGGTGAGTCCATCAATTATTATTTTAAAACGGTTGGTTACAGGCGCTGAAGGCGTGCCCTTACCATCACCGGCTGGAGGAGTGGGTCTGAGGCGGGAACCAGGCAGCAGGAGTCAGGCCGTGGACACTAAGTGCTCTGGGCAGACAGTGTCTTCCAGGCTTTCTTCCCGCTCGGTGGGGGCGGCAAGCCACCTGCCCCTCGGACAGCCTCGCTGATGGGGACCTTTCTTAGGTGAACCAGCCACACTGAGATCTTTTATAGCTTTATTTTTCAATCCTGGATTTTTATTGATTTGTTTATTCTTGTGCAAGGCCCTGAGCGGGAGAAAGGACGGCATGTGTGGTCCTTGGCATGCGTGGTCCTTGAGTCAGAGGGGCACCCACACACCAGCAGACAGAGGCAGGCGGGCCGGGAAAGAGGGCTGCGCAGAGCTCACCAGGAAATCTGGAGGCCGAAGAGCTCACAAGAGCAGAGGAGAGAAAACCCATTCCACACAAGAGGGAGCGCTCGAGGGAGGCAGTGAGGACAGATGCAACTCAGTGCAGGGAGGATCCTCAGAGAGTACTGACAGGTGGAGTGGGGGTCACACAAATGGCCGCTTAAAGAGCAAGATGGGGCAGGATAGGGAGGCGGGTCAGGAAGGGGACGGCACAGAACTATGCAGCCACCGTGTTCAGAGAGACTGCACATGCTTCCCGGGAAGAGGGCGGGCCGTGTGCTCACTTTCAGGCAGCTCTAGGGGCAGAAAGTGTCGGGTGATGTGAAGAAGCAGAGCTGTGTTTGGAGGATTGCTGTGGCCCAGCCTGTGTCGTGCTTGGAAAGAGGAGTGTTCAGAAAGCAAGAGAGACTGTCGATAACCCGGCAGAGATGGTCCTGTCCCTCCAAATGCTTCACGAGGGTGAAGCCGATGGAGGAGACCAGATGAATGTTGCCACTTAGGAAAAGATTTTCAAGTTTACCTGTGGCAGGCAGGTCGGAGCACAGGGCTCCCACAGTGTTAAAGGCCCAGGTAAGAGCCTGCAGAGGGGCCCAAAGAGAGAGTTTGATACAGAAGGAAGAGAACAAGGAAAGAAAGGAAGGAGAGACCGGGCCGGCGCGAGCAGGAAGTGCCTGGCGAGGACAGCAAAGGCCTGAGCTTTCGGGGAGAATCAGCTCACTCTGAGAGGAAACAGTCTGTGCAGATGAGGAGAGCGGACCGGAGATGGATGCCTCACTTAGTCTCAGAATGAGAGTCTGAAATGTGAAATTTGAAACAGTGGTAGATAAATGAATTGAAGTGGAAATATGGAAAAAATAGTGATGCAGGAAGGAAAGCACGGGATTTCTATTTTAAATATAATTTCACAGTTGATATTACATTTGTCTTCTTCTCTGTGAACTTGATTCTACAGTAGATGGGGGGGGGGTGTGCACAGTGCGCATGTGTGGCCCTGCTCAAGCTGTGGACGAAGCCCCTCGACCCCCAGCTCTGCCTCCTGAGCCCCCTACCGTCTCCTCTGCCTGGTCCTCCCTCGGGGAGAGGGCGGGTGTCCAGCAGGCCCCTGGGGAGGGAAGGGCCAGCAGTGTGTCCGCCCTGTGGGTCTCCTTCGCTGTCCCCACCGGCTTCAGGCAGCCACCAGCCCTGAAGGTGTATCCGTAGAAACCAGTCACTCACTGAGGATGAGTCCTAGCATTCGCAGGTTCAAGGACAGCTTTACAACAGGTTGCACCGTCTTACTTGCCCAGGGCCCTTGGTCCGTGTGGGAGGAGCCTGGGGCCAAGGGCAGGAAGCCTCGGTAGGGAGCGGGAGAGCAGGCCCTCCCGGAGTTTGTCCAGATGCTTTGGTTCCGGAGCTGTCCTCTGCCCCCGGCCCCCCAGCCTCAGTTCCTGTCACATGTCTGCTCAGCTCACCAGTGTCTTTAAGAGCTCTCGGGCCCTCGGGCCCCTCAGGAGCTGGAACTCACCTTCAATCCCATTCCAGTCGAGGCTGCGTCTGCACCCTGCTGCCCCCACTGACCTTCACCTCTGCCTCCACTGGACCCTCCTCACCCCTGCTCACCCCTCGGCCTCCCCAGGGAGCTGTGCCAGTCCCCTCAGCAGGTCAGGACCTTCCGGGTGGGTCCCACCATCTAGACCTCACCTCTAACATGTAACCAAGGTGTGGCCCTTCTCTCTAAAGCACGTCACGGACCTCAGCGCCTCCTCTCGGCCCCTGCGGCCTCGTGCGCGAAGCTCCCACCACCGGTTGAGGAAGCTGATCTCCCTCCGCAGTGTCCTCCCCAGTGTCCTGGCACCGTCACAGCACATGCACTCCCGCCGCACGATCTCCGTGTGGGACGATGCACAGGCCGGGCCTCTGGTCTTCATGGGGTGAGCAGGCCAGGAGGGTCCCTGCTGCAAAGCCCTCACCGGCCGACAGCCCTTCTCCCCTCAGTTTGCTGCTCACATCTGCTCAGACCCCATTCCTCCCCAAGGCCCCGCCTGTCACTCAGTGCCTGGAACACTTCTACCCCCACCCCTTCCCTCAGGCCCTGCCTGGAGGCCTCGAGGGCCTCAGTGGCCGCTGCCTTCTGCGTGCGTCTCCTGAAACAGGGCTGTGGGAAAACATGGAATCCTTTGAACATTTTACTAAGGTTGATAAGCAGAATAGTTCTTAAGTTTAAATAGTTATTTTTGTTAATATGAGATAGAAAAAAACAAACAGAAGGTGGAAGACAGGACTCGCACAGAGCCCAGAACTGCTTCCACGGTGACGCGTAGGCAGACTGCCCCTGGTCCTGGTTGGGGGGGGCGGGGGGAAGGGGGCGGGGGGGGGGGCTCCTTCGGGTGAGGCATTGGCTGCAGGTTGGCCCAGGCATGGCAGGTGAAGTCCCTCCCCAGCATATAATGAGGCTCCCAGAGGAGGCTAGAGAGGGAGGGGCTGGTTTGCACCCTAGGAGATGAGCCTGGGTCCTCCCTGGGGTGATACCCTGTGGCTTTTTTGTAAGTAACAACTTTATTGAGATAGTTCACATACCATACAAGTCACCTATTGAAAGTGTACAACTCAGAGGTTTTTAGCATCTTCACCACCAGTTCCATAGTCCACGTTGCCCTCTAGACTTTTAACCCAACTGCCCAAAGCAGGACGTAATTAACGAGTTAAAAAGAAGAGCTCCGGCCAGAACCGGTTTGGCTCAGTGGATAGAGCGTCAGCCTGCGGACTGAAGGGTCCCGGGTTCGATTCCGGTCAAGGGCATGTACCTTGGTTGCGGGCACATCCCAGTGGGGGGCGTGCAGGAGGCAGCTGATCGATGTTTCTCTCTCATCGATGTTTCTGGCTCTCTATCCCTCTCCCTTCCTCTCTGTAAAAAATCAATAAAATATATTAAAAAAAAAAAAAAAAAAGAAGAGCTCTGGTTTGGGTGCACAGGGCAGGCAAGCAGGACGCCCTCCCGCTCCCGGTGGCAGCCCAGGGCTGGGCAGGACAGGGCAGCCCCAGGGTGGACACTGACCGTCACTCACGGCGTTTGCCTTCTCCCACCAGGTGTTCCACTGTGTCCACTTCGAGTGTCCGGAGCAGCAGAGCAGCCTGAAGGAGGAAACCAGCGAGGAGCCGGGGACGGGGGACACCAGCCCGGCCAGTCAGCCGCTTGAGCCCCGCGCCCTGCAGGCCCCCGGCGGCAGCTCCCTGCCCTCCAGCCCGGCCTCTCGCTCATCCGGCCGGCAGCACCAGTAACGGGGCTCTGGTGGGCAGTGACTCGGGGGACCATCTCCCCAGCAGGGCTTTGTCACTGCCCCGCCCCTTCCTGCGGGGAGCAGACCGGCTGCAGAGACAGACACGGAGCAGGTTTGCTCCCAAGGACAGGAAGGGGCCGCTTTGTTCTCCTCAATTCGTTCCAATCAGGCTGGTCTCCAGGGGGAGAAAATGGCCTTCAATCTTCATCAGTCCTGCGTTCACACCCTACCTCTCCCATCTCACCAGGCCCAGAGCAGGCGCGAGTGGGCGGGCAGGGGGCAGACCGGCCTCTCGGACCTGGGGCGCCCTTTGAGAAATGGGTTTCCTTCATGTCTACTCCTGAACACGTCACCCTGGCAACTGAATGGCTTTTTATTTCTTTTAGTTACTCCCTGTCTGCGGAATCATAGGTGTTCGGGTCTTTTTGAAATGCTCAAACGGCACTTTTTTTAACCCCTTTGACACTAACTGTCCTTCCTTAGTTTTGAACGGTTAAGCGTGGGGCGCAGCAAGAAGCACGTGCCGTCTCCCCAGGGCTGACAGGGACACTCCTCCGAGGAAGTTCAGCAAAACACAGGCGCAGAGCAGCCTGGCACTGAGCAGCGGGCACTGAGCAGCGGGCACTGAGCAGCCTGGCACTGAGCAGCGGGCACTCACTGGGCTGCCGGGTCGCGGACCTGTCTGTCTGCGGTGCGTCCGCCTCGGGAGGGGCAGGAGCATCCTGTGCGCCTGCTGATGACGTGCTCAGATGCCTGTGCAACCTGCACACCTCCAGTTGGGCTGGGCCTGTCTGCCAGTCGCCAGTGGGGCCGCGAGCAGGACGGGCAGGAATGCAGGCCGGGGGCTGACGCGGCCCTGGTCATCCTCCATCCTCCAGTTCCGAGACACTTTCCTCCTCCTCACTGCGCCATCGGTCTCGCGGCTCGCTGGGCCGCGCTGCTGTGTCTCCGTCATCTCCATTGGGTTCCCTTGTAACTCCATCAGATTCCTGTCGCTGTTTCCTCTCTGCAGCTCTCCCTTGGCTGGCTGTCCGCTCCCCTGAAGCTCCCCCAGATGCAGAGTCCTGCACACCCTGTGGCCGCTGGGGCCGGGGCGCTTACAGGGGTCCTTTCTCTGGCGTCTTAAAGACACGGTGGTTTGGGTGTACAAAGAGCAGGGTCGGTCCTGAGTGACTGAGGGGACAGTGGGGTAGCGTCGGATGAAGGACTGGGAAGCACGCTGGGAGGAGCGGGAGGAGCGGCCCCCAGTCTCCCTGCTCCTCGCTCCTACCTGCCCTCCTCCCCTGCCTGGGGTGAGCCTGCTGCTGCTGTTCGCATCCAGCCCGGCCCCTGTGAGCGCGTTCCTGCCCACTGAGCACCCGCCAGCCACACACTGGGCAGCAGGCGAGTGCAGATGCTTTCAGAGGCTCACCTGTCGAAGGGCCTCTTGGTAAACTCTGAAGTCACCTGTCCAG